CACACACACACACACACACGAACATACACACACACACACATACATACATACATACACACACAGACAAGGTCGTCCCAATATGCGTTTTCGCAATTTGCAAATAGGCAAAAACGCATAATTACAGTGCTAGGATGAATGAAGAAATCAGAAAACCCAGCAGTGTTCGCCCTCCACTTCTTCTTCTTTATGCGTTGCGAAAACGGAAGGGGTGGTGTTCCAGATAACAGGCACAAAATATAGGTGGTACTCTCATTTAAGTGAGAGTACCACCCGTGAGAAGATCTGGCGCGAGTCTTAACACTCCTCGGATTGCTATGCGCAGTGAAAGGTTGCTGTGGTGATGATGATGAACTGACCTTGTTCTATACTGCTTGCACTGGTGCTAGCTGAGGTGCTTCGAGAAGCAGCGTCCGTGGAGTCCCCAGAATCACATCATTGTGCGCATCATCGGTTGTTTCTTGGGATGAGCTGACTACTTGCTCCGGTTGCACATCTTCGGAAGGCTCTTTGCCACGTGGAGTCACTGCGACTGGATCTGAAATGACACTTTAAGAAGGCAAAAAAGGGAGAACCTTTAAATTCATAAACACAGCTACTAGGAAGTTTGAGTAAATTTCACTTTAGCTGACAATGCGATAATGATTGTTATTATGGTTACGATAATAATGATAACAGTAGTAATGGTGATGATGAGGAAGAATTTTAATAAAAATAATTGTAACAATAACTAATATTTTAAATGACGAGTATAAATTGGATAGTAGTACCAGCAATAATAGCAACAAATAATAATAGTAACAACACGAAATAATACTAGGAACAGTAAGCCTTAATTTTGTACGAAAAACAGCACCTTGAAGGAAATTAATTTGTTGTGCGGTAATATCTGGTTTAATCACTGGTTCATTTTCGTCGTTATCACCCGTCGAAATGTCATTAGTGCTGTCGTTGGATTCTTCGGATGACTGCTGAAAAATAATCTCGATATTTACAGTATTAGTACGCATGAAAAAGAAAAATAAGCCACGTTTTTCTCGAAACGTGAATTTACAAGTTTTATGTGGTCGTGAAACGGGAGCATACTCTGAAACTTCTGTTAATTAAATTTACATTCTTACAATCAAGCTGTTCTGATAACTTTCAAGTGAAAATCACTGCAACTGGTAGAATTTCCACTGCTGAATAATTAAAGGCCTTCCATTTTTGGCCACCTGTCGAAGATGCTTATCAGTTCTTGTTACATTCAAAATACTTTGGCCAAATGAAGTTCGTACGTCGTTCTCCAGCTACACAGTTAGCTGCTTTTTTCGGCTGCTCTGTTCAGTGCTGCATCGTCTGCCAATCACATATTTTTATTTCCAACAAACTGGATCTAGCATCTCACTGATCCTGGGAGCAACAGTGGTCTTGACATTGTTAAAATATGGCGGAACTGACCGGAACTGACCATCTCACC